TTTTGATTGTATCATGCAGAATCTGGTTGAACGTATGTGGATATGTAAAAGGATAAGAAAAATTCCTATGGCATTTCTCTGTTATTTTGCCAGCGATTTCTTCTTGAGGTTATTTCAAATCAGGTCTGGATAAAAAGTTAGCAGTTGGCATGCTTCAGTGAAGATGAGTAAGTCATCTTTTGTAGCCCACATATCTTACCCATAAAGCCTGAGAGGATTGAATATGCAATAGGCTGTTAGCTGCCATAAAACCTCGTGGCAAGACCCCTCTTTGTGATATCTGAAAGCTCTAAATATTCATACAGTTTAAATTGGAACTCCACTTCCTCAATTTCCCTGATCAAAAAATTTGCAAAAATGGATGACACCATCTATAAATTCTTCTCCCCTACCTCTTAGTTGACTAGTCAGTTCTTTTCCATTAAATTTAAGCATGAACATCTTGAGTTTGATTTTTTTTTCCAAATGACATTGATAAACTGCTGAAATAGCATAAAGAGACCACTGGTTTAGTCTTTAATCAGTTATTGCTTTTTTATTTTAATTTCTATATATTCTTCACTGTATTTCAAGGAAAGAGAGAGACGATCCCCTCCATTTAATCTCCAAATTCACCCATTCTCAGATGGTGTGAGTGCTCTACAGATCTACTGTATGAAAGAAGGTGTCAAGGTAGGCAGCTATTTAATTTTTTATATTTGTAGAAATTAGAAAAACTGGGAATCGGAAAAAGGGAGGTTGCTCCTGACTGTTTTGGTCTTTCAGTCACTGGATGTCATTTTGATACAAACTATGTAGGAATTGAAAATAGTCCCATCTATTGGAAAATCAATAGAACATAAACAAAATATTAATAAATGTATGGCAGATGCACGAATGGTAGCAGCAGAGAAGACAGGCATCTCTGATTATTTAGAACAGAGTGACATAAAGAATGATACACAATCACAATATTTAAGGTAACTAGCCTTAATTATCTAGAAGAAATATGAAATAAATTTAACACTTCAAGAAACGTATTTCCTGTCTGCCAGATGAGAAGGTTTTCGTTGAATCCCTTTGTTGTGCCACGCTAGGTGCTGTGGAATTCATAATCACGGAGTTTCAGAGTTAGAAGAGACCTTGAAGTCACCTAGTCCACTTTCAATGTGTTTAATTTAGGGAGGAGTTCTCTTTTGAAAGGGCTTAGGATTTATAACACATTGCTGATTAGATAAAACATAATTTTATCTTTAGTGCTACTGAAATACATTTTAGATGTTAAAGTTGAATTGAGGTGTCTCTGTCTCCTGGGAAGTATATTCTCCTTAATGTAATGAAATCACATTGTGAATATATATTCCCTGGGGCAAAGTTCGGATGCCTCTGCTATTCCTGGTCTCTCCTTTACCTTCCGCATGGCCCTTCCTGCTCCCACTCAGCTGCCAAATATACTTGCTTCAGTTGCCTTCCCTCTTCCTATGAGATTAAGCCAGACTTTCGCTTTCCTGGTGGTAAGGCTTTGCTATACTGCTGTTTGAATGTAAGAGGAGAAAGTGATACTAATGAGGTACAAATTGGGAGAAAAATTGGGCAGTAAAATTGTGTTTCCTTATCGTTCATCTTAAACCACTTCCATGGTGTTTAAACTCCTGGCTTTCCTGGGCTGCATGAAAATTCGCAAACCAAAGCAATTTTTTTGATTCAACTCTAA